AAGTCAATCGGACTGACGGTTAGGTGGTTATCTGTTTTTTCCGTTTTATAGCGCCACCTAGTGTTCAATCGTCGTTATTTTTTACTGTGACCTCAAATTGAACTCATACACATGTGTACCGAGTTTGGTGAAGATATCTCATTTACTTCTTTAGTTATAGCCATTTTAGTAAAATAGGCTCCTCCCACAACGTTTATTTTGCACCTCCTAGCGACCGGAAATAGAAATTTCCACTTTTTTTCAATGATTATTGATAATCAGACTCCAGAGAACATTTCTGCACTGGTTTGGTTCCGATCGGGCAAAAAACCAGGGACTAGTTCGCAAAAGTAGTTTTTCGACAAAATTCAAAATAGCCGAAAAATTTGCATACCGGAAATGAAATCGGAGATATACGTTTTGTTCGTCAGGTGCCCAGCTTTCCAATGATATAAGACACTTGAGTGTACGACTTACGGTTTAGGAGTTATGAGCAGCTTCGCGCAATTGGTCGCTATAGCGCCACCTATGGGCCAATCGGGCTCATAATTTGATAACCTCTCCTCGATTTTTGTACTACCATCTGACAAAGTTTCAGAGCTCTGGCCCTTACGGTTTGGTCTGCACGATGCGTTTTACGGCAGAAGAAAAATAATAATAATAATAATAAAAATCGGTACAATTACAATAGGTTTTCAGCACTTCGTGCTTGAACACCTAATTAAAGCTGCAAGCAGCATTTATCGGTGTTCAAGCAGTTTAGGCCTTTAAGGCCTTAAAGCACAAAAGCATCAAAAGGCATTAAATTTTATTAAACATACATTTATCCAGTGACATAATAGATGGAAAACACCATTTACAGCCAATACAGGCAATTAACCATTGCAAATACATGGTTTTAATGCTTTTTAACAGATATAGCACCATCTATGGTCTGATCTCCATGAAACTGTGCATGCTTCTTTTACATGTTATGACACATATGCTCATCATTTTTTTTTTGAAGTTGTGAGTTTTCCTTTAGGATTTATATACTTTTGGGTGCATTTTGTCACCTACATCTTGGATACCCTTGGGGTAAGCTAAAACATACGAAAAATTAATTTCAAAGTGAACTATCCCTTTATCTCCATTATGCTTGCTTACACCAGCAGGGTGCATTACTGTATCTCCTCATTGGCCTTCCTAAAAATACCATAAGACAGTTGCAGCTCATTCAGAACGCCGCTGCCAGGAGTCTGAGCAGGACCAGAAAATATGAGCAGATCACACCAGTCCTCAGGTCTTTACACTGGCTCCCAGTTACATTTAGGATTGATTTCAAAGTATTATTACTGGTATATAAATCATTTAATGGGTTAGGACCTCAATATATTACAGATATGCTCACTGAATATAAACCTAACAGATCACTCAGATCATTAGAATCACATGAGCTAGATGTGACAGTTGTCAAAGTAAATGTGACAGTTGTCATAGTAATTTTGGTAAATGGACAGCATTTATATAGCACATTCATAGACCTAATGGTCACCAAAGCGCTTTACATATTGCCTCACATTCACCCATTCACACACTGACGGCGGTGTCAGCCATACATGGCACCATTCAGCTCGTCGGGAGCAGCTGGGGTTAGGTGTCTTGCTCATGGACACCTCGACACTTGGTCAGGCTGAACCGGGGATCGAACCACCAACCTTTCGGTTTGTAGACAACCTACATGAACCACTGAGCCACTGCCGCCCCTACCCTTTTTGACTAAATTATTGTGATTATGTGATTATTGTTAAACTAGTGAATTGATAAAGTCATAATATGAATTATAGTTGAGTAGTCATGACAAATGACAATTTTGAACAGCAGGGGGCAGTAAAACTCCACTTATTAGCTTAATAGACCATCATGTTGATATCATTTTCACCTTTTTAACTGTTATATAGGCATATTTTGTCCGATCTGTCTGAAAATGTTCGTGATGTTTCAATGTCACGTGTTCTAACTTGTTTTTAAGATCTGAGCATTCATTTCAAGGCTACATGTTGAAGCCATCGATTATAGGCATTCACATGAAGTAGTTCAACTTTTTCTTATAATACTTGATCAAGAGAGTTCAGAAAATTGTACTGCACTGGCTAACATTATAGGGTTAGGTTTCTTGCTCATAGACACCTCGACACTTGGTCAGGTGGAACCGGGGATCGAACCACCAACCTTTCGGTTTGTAGACAACCTACATGAATGAACCACTGAGCCACTGCCGCCCCTACCCTTTTTGACTAAATTATTGTGATTATGTGATTATTGTTAAACTAGTGAATTGATAAAGTCATAATATGAATTATAGTTGAGTAGTCATGACAAATGACAATTTTGAACAGCAGGGGGCAGTAAAACTCCACTTATTGGCTTAATAGACCATCATGTTGATATCATGTTCACCTTTTTAACTGTTGTATAGGCATATTTTGTCCGATCTGTCTGAAAATGTTCATGATGTTTTAATGTCACGTGTTCTAACTTGTGTTTAACATCTGAGCATTCATTTCAAGGCTACATGTTGAAGCCATCGATTATAGGCATTCACATGAAGTAGTTCAACTTTTTCTTATAATAATTGATCAAGAGAGTTCAGAGAATTGTACTGCACTGGCTAACATTATAGGGTTAGGTGTCTTGCTCACAGACACCTCGACACTTGGTCAGGCGGAACCGGGGATCGAACCACCAACCTTTCGGTTTGTAGACAACCTACATGAACCACTGAGCCACTGCCGCCCCTACCCTTTTGGACTAAATTATTGTGATTATGTGATTATTGTTAAACTATTGAATTGATAAAGACATAATATGAATTATATATTATGTCTACGGTTCGATCTCCATGAAACTTTGCATGCTTCTTCAGCATGTTATGTCACATATGCTCATCAATTTTTGTGAAGTTCTGAGTTTTCCTTTAGGATTTATAGGCTTTTTGGTTCATTATGCCACACCCCTTTTCAAAATAACCCTTTTAATACCATGCAAAAAATTTAAAAGTTCAACTTTTTTTCAATAATTATTTATCTAGAGACTCCAGAGATTTGTCCTAGACTGGTTTGGTTTTGATCAGACAAAAAACCAGGGACTAGTTCGCAAAAGTAGCTTTTCAACATATTTGTGAATATTTAATGAACGATTCAATTGACAGCAATGGTTCTAGAGGCAAAGTTGTTCATCATGAGGAGATCTATCAAATGATATTCATTTTGTGTGGATGTGTGCAACACCACGTGATTACAGAGCCATAAAACTCTTTAGCGCCAACTAGTGGCCGATTTCTATGAAAATTCTTACAGACCTCTAGTGCCACAAGTCGAATATGCCCCTCGAGTTTCGTTCCGATCAGCCTCCGTTAACCTCGTCTAATAGGTGCTCAAACTTCATTGGTTGATGGCGGCCATGTTTTTTGAGATATGCCAATATCCTTTTAGACATACATGGTAACTTACACCAAGACACTGCATACCAAATTTCAAGTCAATTGGACAAATGGTCAGATGGTTTTAGCCAATTATATGTTTATTTAATGTTATAGCGCCACCATGTGACCAATCGATGCAGTATTTTTACAGTGACCGCAAACTGTCCTCATACACATGTCTATTGAGTTTGGTGAAGATATCTTATTTACTTCTTGAGTTATAGCCATTTTAGTAAAATTGCCTAATTTCAAAATGTTCATTTTGCACCCCCTATCGACCTTGAATCGAAAATACAACTTTTTTTCGATAACTATTGGTATTCAGACTCCAGAGAACATTTCTGCACTGGTTTGGTTCCGATCGGGCAAAAATCCAGGGACTAGTTCGCAAAAGTAGGTTTTAGATAAAATTCAAAATGGCGGACAAATTTGCATATAAAATTAAAAATCCGAGATATACGTTTTGTCCTTCAGGCATCCAGCTTTGCAGTGATATAAGACACTTGAGTCTACAACTTACATTCTAGGAGATATGAGCAGTTTCGCGCAATTGATTATTATAGCGCCACCTATGGGCCAATATGGCTCATAATTTGATAACCTCTCCTCGATTTTTGTACTACCAGCTGTCAAAGTTTCAAAGATCCAGCTCTTACGGTTTGGGCTGCACGATGCGTTTTACGGCGGAATAATAATAATAATAATAATAATAAAAATCAGTACAATTACAATAGGTTTTCAGCACTTCGTGCTTGAACACCTAATAAAAATCAGTACAAAAACAATAGGGTTTCAGCACTTCGTGCTTGAACCCCTAATAAAAATCAATACAATTACAATAGGGTTTCAGCACTTCGTGCTTGAACCCCTAATAATAATAATAATAATAATAATAATAAAAATCAATACAATTACAATAGGGTTTCAGCACTTCGTGCTTGAACCCCTAATAATAATCAGTTATTAAAACATCTAACATGGCCACCGCAAACGCATTTAATTTGTCTTCTAGTTTTGCCAGCACTCTCTCCTGGCTTTTGCACACTTTCAGGTGTTCCCTGGCGTTTTAATTAAAGACTGACTTTCGCGCATAATCTTGCATTAAAAGCGCTTGCTCTGCTTGGGAGAAAAACTGGGCGTGTTCTTTGGCCATGCTGAACAGCCAATAGCAGCGCTGCTGATCACTGGTTCTGCTAGCTATCGATACATGTCCCCTTTTATACCAACGCGAGAACGCGCAGTTATCTCAGATAACTCAATCCAGCGACACTAATCATAAACAACAGGTGTGTTCGAAGAACCCAATTAGCCGGATCATGATTAGCACGATGATCTCATCTTAGATCTCTCATTTGATCTCGGATGTTTTAAGCAACGTACGAAGAACGAGCCCCTGATCAGTCAATAAACACTAATATCAGCGCTGACATCAACTAATATTTATGAATACACAGAAATATGATCAAATCTAATCAACATAATCAGTTCTACAATTCAATATATAAATAGTTAATTAAATAAGAATATTTGAAGGAGAAGACAAATGATCTCTACTCACTATAGACAGAAACTCTGAATAGTTTTGATGAGAATCTTCCTGAAAATTTCTGTAGTCTATAATCTCCAGCATGATCAGTTGTGGTGTGTGAGATGGTCAGAGATCCAGTTTGATTGTCCAGCTTCAGTCTGTCTCTGAATCTCCCATCAAGATCATCATATACAGTGAATCTATCGGCCCGTTTATTGATTTCTGCCATTAATGTCTTTCCATCTTCAAACCTCCACAGAATCACATCATCACGCTTTATTTCAGTGAGATTAGAGTTTAGAGAGACTGAATCTCCCTCCATCACTGACACTGACTCCATTTCATCTGTCAAACACACAGAGAACAAACAGAAACAGGGTTTATCACAGATTAATACTGTTAAATCCATTTGTAATTGTTTACTAAATTGAATAGTTTAAAATTTCAACTTAAAAATAAGCAATATAAAATAACAAAACAAAATCATTTATGAATTAATTTAAATATTTTTATTAAAAAACAGATGTAAACGTTTTTAAACTCACCAAAGACATCGAGAATAAAAAGCTTGATCTCACTGTTGGTCAGTAGACGATAAACTCCAGTATCTTCAGTTGTGGTGTTTGTGATGGTCAGAGATCCAGTTTGATTGTCCAGTTTCAGTCTGTCTCTGAATCTCCCATCAAGAACATCATCATATACAGTGAATCTGTCGGCCCGTTTATTGATTTCTGCTATTAAAGTGTTTCCATCTTCAAACCTCCACAGAATCACATCATCATCCTTTATTTCAGTGAGATTAGAGTTTATAGAGACTGAATCTCCCTCAAACACTGACTTCAGTCCTGAATCACCAAACACACACACACACACATACACACACATACACACACAACATCAACAACAAACATGGTTCATCTCAAATTAAAACGATCACTTCATGGTTTATAAAAGTAAATAGTTAGAAAATTAAATTTGAGAATATCATCATTAAACTCCAAAAGCAAAAAAAGAGTTTGAATTATTAATGGTATATTTGTGGTGATTAAAATATAAAACAAGTGAAATAAATATTTGGCTCACCGTAGACATTGAGATAGAAACTCTCTCTAATCGCACTGTTGATCTGTAGTTTATAATCTCCTTCATGTTCAGTTGTGGTGTTTGTGATGGTCAGAGATCCAGTTTGATTGTCCAGCTTCAGTCTGTCTCTGAATCTCCCATCAAGAACATCATCATATACAGTGAATCTGCCGGCCCGTTTATTGATTTCTGCTATTAAAATGCTTTTATCATATCCAAATCTCCACTGAATCACATCATCATCCTTTATTTCAGTGAGACGAGACTTTAGAGAGACTGAATCTCCCTCAAACACTGACTCAGGAACTGCTCCTGAAGAACAGAGTTTTTCACAGATTAAATCTTTAAATTTAATCTCTTGATGTTGGTTTGATGAAGCTTCACTAAAATACTTTAAATCATTTAAATGTGAAATTAATCATATTCTGCAGCAGTGCAAAGATACACTTTTACTGTAATGTTTAACGTCACACTAAAACTAAAGCTGTTGAGTATCGGAGCTTCATATTTACAATCAATCACTAATAACTGAGTTTAGAGCTGAATTCAAAGTTGATCTGACAGTAAAATCACAGTTTAATTATTTCTATATGAGAATAACAGTGAATGTTGATCCTCCTCGACTAAACTAACCAGACATTTATTACATGTTACCAGAACAGAAACAACTGAAGTCATAAAAACACATTAAACTCACCATCCAGACGCCAGAAACACAAGCAGAGCAAAACAGGGAGAAACATCTTCATCAGTTTCACAAATATGAAAAGACAAACTCTTCAAAACTGATAAAACGACAGATGTGCTGATGTGAAGCTGCTCTGTAGAGTAAAGTGGAGAGAAACTCTACAATAAGTTAAAATATCTGTAAGTGTTAATGGGTGTGACCGTCTAACTCTGTTTCTGATGATTATTTCACACTTTGAGCTCCAGTACGCCTGTAATTCCTGTCAGTCAACAGTGTGACTTTCAACAGAAAAACACGGACCTATGACATGTTAAACACATCTTGAAGCAACAGTTTGATCTTGACTTGATTTCCTGAGAGTGTTTGTCTCTGCTCTCTCCTGTAACTCTCTTCAGGACGTTTGTTCTTCATTTCTGATCAAATGTCTGGATTGTTTCTCCTCTCAGACTGATCTCAGAGTTTCTCTAACGGTTTAAAGGATCAGGAACAGATCGTCTGCTATAACTGTGTGTATGAAAGTGTCCTCTGATATCTTCACATGATTCATATTCTAATAAATATGCTCAATTAATACAATCAAACCAAGATGTTGAATATCTGTGTCAAGAACAGGAAATACTGCATATTAAATGTTCAAATTATTTACAATAGAATAGAATAGATCGGATACGAGAGATGAACATCAAACATCTTAATGTTGAGATTTAAACTAAACAACCTTCAGTCACACACTGACGTTATACAGCACTGATTGAGCTTCACATCTCTATAGAAAGTGTTGTGGAAATGATTCTCTGTTATTCGAAAAGATAGGAGGAAGAAGACAAGTGGAAACCTTTTCAAAAGTCAAAGTATCAAAAGTTTATTTTCTTGCAAGAAAACACATCCAATCTTTTTTGGCGTTCAACATACAGAACAGTGTCTACATGTGAAGGCGAAGGCTAGTCCTTCTCATCATCCTTATATACCTGAAAACCCAGGAACCCATGCAGGCTAGGTCTGGTTTTGCTACCGATTGTCTCTTACACCATCTAGCAAGGAAACCTGTTTGCGCTGCCCTTGACTATTCTTGTAGACCGTATATTTAATTTGGACAGCACAATGACGTTTGTGTTAAGTTTCCTATGTTCAAATACAGCTTCACACCTCAATTTATCTCTTGGGTGCAAGTTCTTGTTTATCTTTTGTTTGATCAAAACCCTGCACAAATATAACTCACACTTGAGATACAATGAGCTATTAAAATGTTTCCATGCTGCTTGCTTCTTTGTTAAACACAGAACATTATGTCCTCACACTAAGCTTACATTACTTATGCATTTCTAACAGTTTAGTTATACCTTAAGCTTACTCTAACTTATGCATTTCTAACAGCTTATATCTTTAACAATGTCCTTTGGATTACATGAACATCTTCCTTTAAATGCTTATGAGTATATGTTAGATGATATGAATATTTTCCTTTAAATGCTCATGAGTATATGTTCTCCAACGTTAGTAAAAGTTACACACACATCTATCACATCTTAATGAAATAAAAGAAAACATATAAAAGAAAATAGAGATCATATATGAAAGAAAAGAAACTTGTATAAATGTAAACGCAAAATTAGCCATTAAAAATCAATAATCTCTTGTGGAACTGATGTCATAAACCAGAATAATAACAGTAGCCACGCCCATAACTCACATAAGAGTAATGTCACACTCAAGCTAATGCTGTTGGGTATTTGAGCTTCATATTTTATATTATTTGATTTAATAATCACTTATAACTGAGTTTAGAGCGGAATTCAAACTTGATCTTTCACTAAAATCACAGTTAAATCATTTATATGCTATATAACGGCTGGGAATGTTGATCTTCTCTGACTAATAAAATGCTACAGTGATTGTGGGAAACGGGAAGACTCCTCTAGTGGTCATCAAGAGCACTTACTTATTTTATGTGATATTTTTACTTTTTTAAATAATAGGAAAATGATTAATGACTCATTTATTACTCTCTGAGGAAACAAACAAACATACAACATTTAAGTATTGATTTCTTTAACCATGACAGAAAAATGCCACTTTTTTGTATAGTCTATAATTCATTATTTATGTCCTTAATTGTACTACCCACCCCAAATGTAACGGACTTTGTATGTTTTGCTAAATAAATAAATAAATAGGCTAAATAAATCTGGAGAAAAGGGTCAAATGAGGTAGTCCGTGAATATTCCTGATGGACCCCAACCAACACCAAAACGATGCACATGAACATGATTTCATAAATTGTAATTATTTTCAAAAAAAAAAAAACTAGTATTCAACGCAATATGTAATATAGAAAAGGCTAAACGTAATACGTGCTATATGAATAAAACGTCTCATTACAGTACGGCAGATGTGTAGGTGTCCGATGATTTCGCCTGCCTGAAACTCTCACCACCACCGCGGCGCCTGACAGCCCGAGCGATCGCCGTCAATCATTCATTCAGTCTTTTTCTCCGTTTCTCTCTATCGGAATCTCCCGAACCGGCTCCAGCATGTTCGAGGAGGCCAGCGAGGTGTTGGAGAACATGTTAAAGTGGTCGTTCCCGCTGAGTTTGGTGCTGTTTCTGGTGCTGGTGTGTCCGCTGCGCGCGGAAGCGGCGCATGAGTTCAGTGTGTACCGCATGCAGCAGTACGACCTGCAGGGACAAACCTACGGTAATAAACCGACACAACACGCTTTATATGGCCATATAATGCTTTATTAACATCTCTCGCTTTGTATTTGAGACATGTGGTGGCGTAGTGGTTTATATTTACCAACGTCTGCTGGAGTTTAAACCTACAACCTTTCAGTTACAATATCCCAGACTAGTACCATGGTATTACCATGTTTGAAGTGTTTCTAGGTTAAAAACGTTCTTCAAGGCTCGTAACTGAATGGTTGTCGGTTTGAACCAATCAATGGTTTAATAATCAACTGTCATATTTACATGTCGTACTATGTTACATACCGCGGTATTTACCGCGTTACTCTCACATTGACGCAGCACTATTGTTTACACTATTAGTTTTACGTTTTTAAATTTAGTTTTAGTATTTTAGTTTTAATAGTGTTGATATGTGGTTTTGTCATTTTTACTACCTCAGTTTGTTTTAATTTTAGCTTAATTTCAGTTTTTCTTTTGCTAGTTATACATTTTAGTGCTCCATATTTCATTTTAGTTAAATTTAGTAATTTTGTTTAGTTAACAAATATAACCTTGCATGGTACACCAATATACTTCAAGAATTACCATGGTATTACCATATTGACTGCATCATTGATGTTTGTAAAGGTTTTTTTTGTTTGTTTTGTTTTAAGTACCATTATAGTTTTTCTTATTTTTAAATTAGCAATAGCTTAGTCTTAGCTGAGGACAATAATGTGGCAGCTTTGTTCATCAAACATCTCATCTTCATGAGAATTAATGAATCACAACTGGTTTTACAGATGTTTATTGATTCTGAGGTATTAATTATATATTTTGGTGGAGGAAGAGACACATTTGGTAACAGTTATTTTAAGGTGACATAGATACGCGTTACTACATGTTCTTACTATCATAATAAGAGTAAATTATGCATAATTACAAGTAACTAACCAAACTAAACCTAACCGTAACTCTATATTAACTAAGTTAACGACTATTACTCAGTACTTATTTGCGTAAGTACTTTGTAACTGTCACTTTAAACACTTGTAACCCAACATTATCTACAATCAAAATGCAATATGACAAAGATAGGGCATTTTTTTCAATATGTGGCTCATGCATTAATAATCCGAATTGATTCGCAGGTTCACGTAACGCCATTTTAAACACCGAGGCTCGTTCGGTGGAGGCCGAGGTGCTCAGCCGTCGATGCGTGATGATGCGGCTCGCCGATTTCTCTTTCGAGAAATACCAGAAGGCCCTCCGGCAGTCTGCGGGAGCCGTGGTCATCATTCTGCCCCAGAACATGTCCACTATGCCCCAGGACATAGTGCAGGTAACGCTGACTAACGAGTAGGCCTGGGATAATATATCAATACATATTGAATTGAGAAATTATTTTAGTTTAGTTTTTGTAAATAATTGGAATCGACCCAGGAATCGCAATGCATGGATATATTGTCCCAGCCCTCGTAAGGACCCGTTCAGAGGCGCGTGCCGTGTTCGGCGTCCCTCCTGGCTGATTCTGGGTCTGTTTTCGTCCCCTGTAGCAGTTCATGGAGCTGGAGCCGGAGCTGTTGGCCACCGAGACCATCGTGCCCGTGTACTTCGCCCTGGAGGACGAGGAGCTGCTGTCCATCTACACACAGACGCAGATCTCCTCTTCCTCACAGGGGTCTTCATCAGCGGCTGAAGGTACACGGAAATATGCGTTTCTGTGGAATAACGGTAGGGGTGGGCGCTATACCGGGATCAACATGACTACTGGTATTATGTTTTTCCATGATATGGATTTTGCAACACCGTTAGATATTCATGAATTCAAATTTTGCAGTTGTATAACTTTCAACACTAGGCCTACTAATGAAGATACAAACAAAATCGAGGCTGAACTGAACGTTTAACCTTAAAAAACGTTTGCTGATAATTTACTCGCCCCCATGTCATCCAAGATGTCCATGTCTTTCTTTCCTCAGTCGAAAAGAAATTAAGGTTTTTGATGAAAACATTCCAGGATTTTCTCCATATAATGGACTTCAATGGGGTCCAAACGGTTCGAGGACCAAAAGAGAGTTTCAGTGCAGCTTCAAACGACACCAGACGATGAATAAGGGTCTTATCAAGCGAAACGATCACTCATTTCAAAAATAAATACAAAAGTATGGTTCACTCAACGAACGAAATGACTCGAAAAAAGATTTGTTCATTTTGAACGATTTTTTTAGACCTAAAAACGATTTTTTTAGGTCTATGTCCAATTAAATCCCTCACCTTTTTCCAGTTATAGAGTTAAAATACATATTTTGCCTGTAAGGTGTACTAAAATTTGATTCCAATTTTTTTTCTCATATTCTAATATCAAGATCGTCCGGAGAGTGAAAATATCGTGATATTAATTTTTGCCCATGTCGCCCACCCCTACTGTAATTTATGAAGTGTTTTATTATAATAAATATTGTAATAATTAGATTGACTTCCTTTTTTTTTATTAAAATGTCTATATATATTTATATAGATTAAATTCTATAATGTATATAATGAAATGTGACCGTGTGAGTATGTTTATGTAAGGGTTTTATAGAGAATGTGTGTGTTTTTGCACAGTGCTGCTGCACACAGCGACGGCTAATGGTTTTCAGATGGTGACCAGTGGAGCTCAGAGTAAAGCTGTCAGTGACTGGGCCATTACCAGTCTAGAGGTGAGTATTACTGATACCAGAAAACACTCAATTACCCATAATCCCAGGTTCTGTCATCAGTTAAGGCCCCCACACAGCGCGTTTGATGTCAACAAAAATCTCTCTCTACCAGCCCGATCTCATGAAAGCTGTAGTCTATTTAAGGTGGTAAAGACGTGTGACTGTAGTGGTTTAACCTACATTTTATGAAGCCATGTGCCAAAAATATATAATTTACCACTTTATTTACAAAATATGAATCTCGACGCATGCGTTTTGTGTTGACGAAAGAGCTGGCGTTGTGCTTTAGAGATTGATATTGTGTAAATAAAAACTACAACTGTAAATGTGACCTTGTGTTGCGCAGCGGTCAACGTTTAAAGCGAGAAATGGCAGAAATGTCACTCAATATGAACTTGAACTTGGACTTTATTGTCATTAGACATGCAGGTGAAACTGGAAAAATGAGAACATGGAGCAAATTTCAGTAATTCGACTTAAAAAGCTGAAACTAATACATTATATAGACTCATTACATGCAAAGTGAGATATTTCAAGCCTTTATTTGATATAATTTTGATGATTATTGCTTACAGATATGAAAACCCCAAATTAAATTTTCGAATATTGTGAAAATGTTTTAAGTAAAGGCTTGAAATATCACACTTTGCATGTAATGAGTCTATATAATATATTAGTTTAAGTTGAACTACTGAACTAAATGAACACGATATTCAGTTTTTTTTTAGTTTCACCTGTAAAGTACAACGAAATTCTGTCTGTAGAATGAATCTCAACAAAAACACTTCAAACAAACAACAACGATACGCAATATGGCGTCGAGTCTAACTAGTATACTTGTTCAGAGTTAGCAAAGCATGATCTCTGTTGTGTTCTCAGGGCCGTCTCACGGGTGCGGGAGAAGATCTGCCCACTATCGTCCTGGTTGCGCACTACGACTCTTTCGGGGTTGCTCCGGTAAGGACCTCGTGTTTTAATACATCATGATGAGTGTTTGTGCTAAATCTTACAAACTTCCCCAGCAAAGTGAGTAAACATAGTAACTAACACGCCAGATTTCGACAGCGTTATGTCAAATCTTGATTGAGTGTGTGTTGTTTCAGTGGCTGTCGTACGGCGCGGACTCGAACGGGAGCGGAGTGGCTGTGTTGCTGGAGCTCGCGAGACTGTTTTCCAGACTCTACTCGTACAAGAGGACGCATGCAGGGTAACGCTTCACCCGTTTAGTAAATCAGAGGCTTCAAACTGCGCGCTTTACAAAAAAACGTTTTTTTTTATAGATACAACCTGCTGTTTTTCTTGTCTGGAGGCGGGAAATTTAACTACCAAGGCACTAAACGCTGGCTGGAGGACAATCTGGATCACACAGGTGAGAACGTGACCTCACGAACCACCCCGGGACGTTCACACGCATCTGATGTTTATCAGCGTGCACAGCTAATATAGTTTAAATGAAGTGTATGTATGTTTGATATGTTTTATTGTTATTTAATCTTGGTAGTAAGTTATATAAAATATGGTGTTTGCTTTGCACAATACAACATATTTACATATATTAAAATGCATTTAAATATATGCTTTATGTAATATTTGCATTTTTAAATTTATATAAAATTGTATAATTGTACTTTATTATAATTTATATTTATTGGCCTTTAAGTGCGTGTTAAAAATATTTATAATTCCATAATTAAATAAATAATAAAAATGTATATTTAAAATTAGAATATTTTCATTAGGGCTGGGAAACGATTAATCGTGATTAATCGCATCTAAAATAAAAGTTTGTGTTTACATAATATAAGTTTGTGTAGTGTGTATAATTATTTTGTATATATATATATACACATATGCATGTATATATTTAAGAAAAATAAATATTTATATGTATGTATAATATTAATTTTGGATAAATATATTTAAAGTATATACATGCAAATATTTCTTAAATGTTTACATGCATGTGTGTGTTTATATATACAAAATAATTATACACACTACACACAAACACAAACTTTTATTTTGGATGCGATTAATCGTTTCCCAGCACTAATTTTTATATAATAAAAATAAATAATTAAATTATTTCAGTATTTGATTTATTTTCATTTAAAAAAATCTATACATTATTTGTTTTACCTCAATATTTTACAATAGTAATTTTTCTTACTTAGATTAAAATTGTTCATTTTGATTATTTAGAAATAATAATATTAACAATGATAATGCGCAGCAAATCTGAAGCTTTAAAAAATTTAAATTGCAATCTTTATCAGGAAAAATATGCTGCTAATATGAAAAAAAAATTACATTTTAAATGTCTTTTAGTTTCCCTTTATCACGGGAAGTATTTGATTTTAATTTGTATAGTTTTAAAAAAATAATTTGTCAAATATTAAAATTATTAATAGTTTTATATTTTATTTTTTATTTTTAAAAAAATTAAGAAAAGGTAAATCTTAAATAGTATTTTTTCTTACTTAGTTTAGTATTGTTTATTTAGTTATTTAGTAATAATAATATTAACAATGATAATACACAGCAAATCTGAAGCTTTAAAAAATCTAAATTGCAATCTTTATCAGGAAAAATGTGCTGCTAATTTGAAAAAAAAAAAATTAAAAGTCTTCTAGTTTCCCTTTATCACAGGAAGTATTTGATTTTAATTTGTATAGTTTTTTAAAAATATTTTATTGTCAAATATTAAAATTATTAATAGTTTTATATTTTTATAAAAAAAATATAAATTTAAGAAAGACAAATCTTAGATTTTCGCTGCGCTCCTAATTTTCAAAATCAAATATTATAATATTGTTTGTCGTAAATACTCACACTAATTATAGTTCTTACTAATAACAATAATAACAATTGTGCAAAACACAAGCTGTTTAAAACCAATGTAATGGAAGAGAAAAGACTAAAGCTTTGACCTCGTCCTCGTCTCTCAGATTCCAGTCTTCTCCAGGACAACGTGGCGTTTGTGTTGTGTCTGGACACTCTGGGTAACAGCGACAACCTTCACCTCCATGTGTCCAAACCACCGAAAGAGGGAAGCCCACAGCACACACTCCTCAAAGAGCTGGAGACCGTAAGACTATACTGACAAATACACACGGATAGGGCTGCCCCTAATAGTGGAATAACCGTTAATCAAAAACACTATTTTATTAGTTGGTTAGTCGAAGAAAAATCATTTATCAACCTTAAAGGGATACTTCACCTCTGGAAAGATGAATGCATATTCAAAATGGGTCATTTATGTAGAAGAAATGTGAAATTATTTTTGAGTTTGGAGCTTTCTAGACTGAGAACATCCAGAAAATGTGGATGAAAGACAACAACTCCCAGAATGCACCCCTCATCTCTCACTGTCAGGTGGCGGCCCATCAGCACCCCGAGCTGAAGTTCTCAATGGTCCACAAGAAGATCAACCTGGCGGACGACACGCTGGCGTGGGAACACGAGCGCTTCGGCATCCGCCGCCTGCCCGCCTTCACCCTGTCCCGCCTGGAGAGCCACCGCAGCCCCGAGCGCCACTCCATCATGGACATGCGGTCAGTGTCGGGACAGGCCACCGCTGGGTGGGTGATGATTGGTGCTTTCTCTCTGCCGCCCCACCGTTAGCTCTCTCTCTCGCTGCTGATTGGTTGCTGCCGATTGGTGATGTCGTGTTTGTTGCGTTTCTCTGTTCTCGTAGGCCTCACGTGGATCTGGCGAAACTCACTCGCAACACTAAAGTCATCGCAGAAACACTGGCCAGAGTGATATACAACCTGACCGAGAAAGTAATGCGGCATCATCTTCATTTGTCTTTTTAATTGCAAATATTGATATGTATTTATTTTTTATTTGTTTGCAAAAAAAATGCTAATTACAATTGAATTATTTAATTACTAACTAATATAACTAATTTTATTGATTTTTTTCTGATAAAGATTGTAGTTTTAATATATTATATTAATTATTATATTAATATATGAAGAGTTCAGATGCAAAAGCCTCTAAATGCCATTTGAAATTTTCTTCTTTAATGATGATTTTTATCAAGCTTGTATATTTAAGTTGAGTAATTTCACTTAAATAACAATTAATAGGTAATTATCATTGCCATTAAAGTGAAATTAGTGAACTTAAATATACAAGCTTGATAAAAATGATCATTCTAGAAGAAAATTTCAAATGGCACTTAGAGGCTTTTGCATCTGAACTCTTCATATACTTATATATATTTCAGTTATTAGATGCATGTCATTATTATTGCTAAACAGTAATATTAATTAAAATAAAAAATACCTTTTTGAATTATATATTTTTTAGATTATTGTTTATATATAATATAGTAATAATAAAATATTATAAATATTTATTTTATATTAGTTTACATTTTATTAGACATTTTGTCATTATTTGTATTACCAAATAACAATATTACACAAAATGAGAAATATTATTGTTGTAATATTTGACTGTAAAATAAAGAAATGGAGTGTATATATATATATATATATATATATATATAGTTATTATTATTATTATTATTATTATTTTTTACACTGATAATAAATAGTAGTTATTTTATTTTACAATGCATCTGTAGAATTTTTTTTTTTTCAACAGAATATTTTCTTTAGTTAATTAATTTTAGACTTTGTTATTTAATAATGGCACGAAGACATTGCAATTTTGGTTTTATTTTTCTTATTTGTGCAACCCTTCGATTTGCCATCATAAAGCTCAAAATGTGTCTTTTAATAGTGTGGTAATTGTCATGTTTCACGCAGGGTGCCAGCGGAGACCTGGAGATCTTCACTGAACAGATGGTGAGTATGACAAGATGGACGGATGACATTATAAACTCACCAAAATCTGCTGTCTACGTTCATCTTTCTTTTCTGTAAACAAAGCTCAGTCATAAACAAAACATTTTTAGTTACAAAACAACCCGAATTCATTGTACTCATTGTAGTCTTGAGTCTCTTCCGAGAACAAACACGTCAAAATATTCCTCGTTTAAATAATTAATACGTAGAATAAAGAGGCGGGGCCTGGTTGAGTTAGTTAGTAGTGTTGAAACTGGTGGGCGGGACATTTCCCAAACACACTCAAAGCACTCGACCAATCACAACATTTCGCTCAAGCCGACCAATCAGAGCACAGTGTGCTTCTCAGAAGGAGACACAGGAAGGAAACAGTAAATAAGTAAATTATGGACAAATGGGGTCTTCAAACGCCTCAGATGTAAAGTTATTCACTGTCAAAGTGACGCCAAAATGAATGGGAGTCAATGGGAATGAATCAACTTCCGGTCGATGGATTACCCCCTTGTGCACGTCGGATGGTTCACGCCTCGCCGTCGTCCATTAATACCTGATAATGGACACCTCGTCGGGCATTAACACTTGCATATCTAAGTGTGCTCCTGTATTCCCAACAGCAGGTGCAGGAGGACCAGCTGGTGTCACTGGTGGACTGGCTGACGGCACAGCCACGGGCCGCACAGCTGCTGGATAAAGACAGTAGTATTGTTAACACACTGGAGTATTACCTGAACCGCTATCTGAAGGACGTCAAGAGGCATCTGGTCAGAGCCGACAAGAGGTGAAGCGCTCGCTCTTTCCGTGCTCGTTTCAAATGGATATTCAGAGCTTAATGGGGCTTTTTTGTTGTCATTTGTTGACAGGGACCCTGAATTTGTCTTTTATGATCAACTTAAGCAGACCATGAACGCTTACAGGTGAGACCTTCAATGATTGTTTTGCATTTTTTCAACCTTTTAAAGGGATAGTTCACTTCAGAAGATACTTTGAAGAATGTTTGTAACCGCACAGTTGTATACTATGGAAGTCAGTGGTGTCCCACAACTGTTTGCTTGCAAATATTCCTCAAAATTGTTCTTTTGTGTTCAGTAGAACAAAGATACTCTTTCAACTTGAGGGTGAGTAAATGATGACAGACTTTTTATTTTTGGGTGAGCTATCCCTTTAAGGTTTCCAGTGTTAATCCAGGATTATTAAACATTATATTATTACAGGTTTCATAATTAAACCTGGGTTAGTAATGAATTGAAAGCAGGTTTAAAGACGAGTTGGCATTTTTTTAATGATTGTATTTATGAGGTGAATAACCTATAACTGATTTACAAGTGCTAAATGTTGCTTAACCCAGGGTTAAAAATGGCCGTAACCCTATATTAAAATTGCTGTTTGAATAATGTTGTTGCTTTTGACACACACCAGGGTAAAACCAGCGATCTTTGACCTGTTGCTCGCTGCCTGTATCGCAGCTTATCTTGGAGTGCTGTATTTGGCCGTCCTGGTAAGACTAATATTCTGGAAATTTATGTCACACTTTTTTTTTCTTCGCATGCATCATATATTGTCCAGGTCACATTTCACCCTAAAAGCAAAACATATCAGATTTTTATAATATAAATGTTATATTTTTAACCAGTTATATATTATATTAATAATACAGATCACAACGTCCATATTACTGTGTGGACATCTATAAATAAATATATTATATTTGATCTAATAAATGTTGGGGGGGGTTTTTTGCCTTTTTTTGTAATATTGAACCACGTTTTCAAGACAATTAAGCACATTTTCACAACATGTTCGAATTACTGTTATTGTATAAACATATATTTGTTATATATCACTGTTATTTTAGTATGATTGAGATACAACTATAGTTGTTCATATTTTTTATTTATTTTTTCATTTTTTCTTCCTTTTTTTTGTACAAGTCGTAGTAACGTTGTTGTTTTTCTCATTTTTATTAGTTTTAGAAAACATGTTTACATAGTTTTTATCAATTTTTATTTCAAGGAACGAAAATATTTTTTATGGTTTTAGTTTTTGTTGGCTATAACCAAAAAAACCTGGAATTTTTTTTCGTTATAACCATATATTATATATATTTGTCATTATCATAATATCCATATTTATACATGTTTATCACAGTAATGACCAGATACCATATATTTATACATAATTATAATTTCTGTAAGCATATAATATATATGTATATATAATTGTCATTACTTTAAAAAACATACATATTTGTCATTCCAAAAATAACTATATAACATACATATTTGTCATTACTGTAATAGCCATGTGTCATATTTATATATGTATTTGTCATTTCCATAATGACCATACATTTATAAATATTTGTCATTACCATAGTAACCATATACTATATATTTATTCATGTCATTTACTACGGAACCATATATATTTATACATATTTGTCATTACCGTAATAACCTTAGAGCATATATTTATACATGTTATTTCCGTAGTAACCATTTATTGTCATTACCGTATTAACCTTAGACCATATATATTTATACATATTTGTCATGAGCGTAATAACCATAGACCATATATATTTATACATATTTGTCATTACCGTAATAATCTTAGACCATATATTTAGACATATTTGTCATTACTGTAACAACAAAACCATTTTAATTCTTGTTTTCCTGTAGAATTTTGGATTTCTGTACGGTTTCCTGCGTAGAGTCACGGCTCCTCGGGTCAAACAACACTAACCCGTGCCCGCCTGTCTCTTCACGCACCTGCAATACGAGGAGCCAAGAGTGTGTTTGCGTTCTTAACATCACACCTAGATTTTTTGATTGATTGATTACTTTTTTGAGAATGTGCATTAATTTCCATGCCAAGTGTTTCATCCACTACATCTCCATCTGCCTTTCAAGTCTTCCTGGTCTCGATGTTGCCTCAAATTCTGTTTCCCTAAAACGGCAATCCATAATCATTCAAACGGAGTTAATCATGCAAACTTTACTGCTGTCAGAAATCCCCTCAGCATGTGGTTATTCTTCACGGGCAGCTACAAAGTGGGCCAAAATTGTTGCTGTTTGAGTTGAAGTCTGTTGACGCTCAATATTGATTCTCAATGTTTGTCACGCGAGTCTCGACTCAAACTGCTGATTCTCTTCGGAGTGAGTATTACATTGTGAGGTTAGGCAACCGAAAATATGCATTTCATGTGTTGCAGATTCTTTTATCCTAAAGTTTTTCCTCAATTATTAAACTCCATGGTTCTTAAGATGTTTATAACTCCCATTTCGTTATTCCACGTGTCGTTTTGACATCCGAAGTCCAGTTCTGTTTTCACTATTTATTAGGAAGCAGTGTGGTACAAATTTGCTGTTATTTATGGAAGCTGATATGCTTCATCATGCACTGATTACATTTTTTTTTTTTTTTTGGTTCTCCAAACTTGATTTAACTTTAAAAATCAGAGGTACATAAACTTGATTCTTAAGGGAGAAGGATGAAAAAAATAAAGGCATTTGTTGAATTAAGAACACATTGCAGTTGGTTTCTTTGTAGTTTTTATTAAATGGAAAAACATGACATGACAACTTGTTTCAATTCACCAATTCAACTGAAATAGTTCAATAACAATTGAGATAATACCTGTCACTCCTTCTGATCAGATCAAAATAGAGGAAAAGAGTGAATAAATGGTCCAAGAAAAATATTAAAACAAATAAATTAACCTTTTTCAGTGTTAAATTAATCAGTATAAATCCACTAGTTATCGCTTTTGTTTTTTTTAAAAATGTTTCATATAGGAAAAAAATAAGCCGTAGTAAGAAATTACAGTCCAACAATTAAATATGTCGATTACCTACCAAGGTTTTTATTTTTGGCACTTTTCAAGAGAATGAACATATTTTAAGTATGTTCTCAATGTGATTAAATTATTTAGCGCTCTCCACACTTCCATTCTGATTGAAAACAACAGTGTTGAATAACAAACGATCCAGAACTTGTAGAGGTTTTTCATTAAAGATCGGTGGAGTGTATGGCGGCAAGGCAAGTTTTTTTGGAGAAACGTTAGCGCATGTGCATTTACGTCGAAGTTCAGTTATCGTGAGGCAATGCGTAGCTAATGCTACAATTTTTGCATAATGACTGAAAGCTGCGTGTAAATGGTGCAAACGTTCTCAGAAAGAGGATTATTCGGCCAGAACTGCATGTAGGCCTACTAACGTTACGTTTTATTCCAGTGATGTGACAATGCCGGGTAAGAAAAGTACGTTAGACGCTTCTTCAAGAATATTTTAGACGACGTCTGCTGTTAATTAACGTTTACACGGGAGAAACTCGAAATAAGCATTTAAATAGATTCAAAGAATATTTAAAAAACACATATTTGCCATCGTATTGGGTCAACTATCTCTTTAACAACGAAACACCCCAAATCATAAACGGCTAGCACAAGCTAGCATTACAAACGGAAGACCAGCGACGTGCAGATCTCATCAGCGAACGCGACGACTATGAGCATTATTACACAACAGAACTTTTGATACAGCAGGCAAATAAAGTATTCAAGTACTGCGATATGGTTTTGGTGTGATCAATGGGTCACGACAGATAATATCAGTTTCATTTAATCTTTTGCGGTGTTATTTCGTAAAGCATATTCTCAAATCTCATGCGTTCCCGCGTACGACATTTGCAGTAAATACTTTGATGAATTTGAGTAGCTAGCTAGTAAATGTTTCTCCATTGTAACGGACTGAATAAGCTTCTACGACTACGATTGTTTCCACTGAGTTATCCATCCGTTTTTATAAAATAAACAATATCATCGGAGTGTATGATTATTATTATTTTTTTTTTGTATTGTTTTGGTCAATCCACGCAACTTCTAGCTTCTATCACGCAACGGATTCTCTTTCAGTTATCTACATTCAAACACGGTAATACTGTAGGCTACAAACATGATTTTGATTGATGCAGATCAGGCTGATTTATTTATTTATTTATTTATTTTTAGGTGGTAACCTTTGTAGTTAATAGATGTTTTTTTTTTTTTAAACAAGGCAACTGATGTACTAGTGTGGTGGTTCTCAACTGGTTTTGCTTCAGGACACTAATTGTGTATATTGGCCCGGTTTCACAGACAGGGTTTAGATTAAGCCAGGATTAGGCTTTAATTCAATTAGGACATTTAAGTTGCGTTTATAAACATGCCTTAGAAAAAAAAACTGGTGTGCATCTTGAGACAAAACAATGGCACTGAGTCATATTTTAAGATACGTCTGTACAAGTTGCTTTTAGTTAAAACATCTCAAACATGCATTTTAGTCTGGGACTAGACTTAAGCCTTGTCTGTAAAGCCGGGGGTCTGTGTATCAAAGAAGTGCTTAAACTTGAAATTTATTAATATTTCTATGAAAGCATTCTGTATTCTTTTAAAGTAAAAATAACGAAACATTCTAAATTAGAGATAAATATTGAAAAGCAAAATTACATCAGATATATTAAGTTCTGTTTTCTGATGAATGTATCAAAATTAATTTAATAAATTAATTGTTTTTAATTTATTAATTAATTAATTTATTCTTTTTTTTTTTTACTTGAAACAAGAAAAATATCTACCTATGTTTATTTTTTCTGACCAATATGAACCAATATTTATTGCAGTGTGGGTGTTTTTTTGTTTTTTTTTTTACCTTGCAAAGTTATGGTTTTTAAGAGGTTGGCATATGTCTACTTTGACGATTTTGTGACGAAATACCATTGAGTGTAATTGGATGTACAGCCTGCCTTTTGATGCCAACAACAAAAGATCTGGTAAGAATTTCCACTTATTTTAATGCCCTAACTATGCATGATTTTATAATTAATATTATTTGCATTTACATTATATGAATTTAACATTGCCCTCCCCTGCTTTTCAGAACAGATCTTCAACCAATTGAGAACCACTCCACTAGTACTCATTACAACAAGATAAGTACTAACCCTTTTGGGGTTCACTCCTTCACTCCTGGAATTAAAATACACCAGATAAACAAAAAGTCTAAATCTAATCAAACAAACTGTCAACCACAAAACCTGATTATAATGTGTTCCACTGTTCTCCTAAATGCATGGTATTGTATTTAATATCCAAAGATATTCAAGTCACTCCCGAAAATAAGTTCCTGATTTTTTAAAAAATTACTTAAATTAACATTTTTAAAGCAATATATGAGACATAACCAATAACATTCACAGTGCTATGATTATATTACAATAACAGTGATTAACAAAAACAAAGACGATGGTTGATTTGTTTCTTGTTCTCTGTATGACCGTCCAATCGCCATGGCGGTCCGAGGTTAGAATCAAACTAGGTCACGTAAGTACCTTGCAGTCATGGTTAAGTGCCTGCAGATGGCAGCATCTAGATATTATTGATGTTTCTTCTTGCTGGTCCCATTCTGCACATGTTTCCTAAGAGGAAGGAAGATGCATACAAAGCACAGAGTCAGGCTAGAAAGAGGTGATCACAGGATGCATGTGGCATAGTCGGATATCACTTCACTTCAAGGTCAGACAGATAAGGAGAGGACTAATGCCATGACGGTAGTCGCATCTACATGAGACGGCTCTCTCTCATCCGATCGCCAATCAGGTCAAAAGAGACTGCCACACTCTGTGATCTCAGATTGCGTTACCCTAAACCTAAAGCTATTGATGTCAACAGGCGTATGGCACAAAGCTACCTCACCATGTGGTTAGAATATCAGGGAGCTCTAACAAATACTGGCCAACGGTGAAACGTTTAAAGAACTGCAGCCCAGATTTGGCAGAAATGAAGTATAGCCAAACAGCCTTGTTTTATATACTCTTCTGGTCTAGTTAGCTTTATCATTTTTGGCAAAGCAAAACTACAGAGTATTAACATTATGCTGCCTTAAAGTTAGGTTGAGCATGTTTATGGGTTAAGTGCACATGTACACCACTGTATAATTATAATTACCAGTAGGAATAACCCCAAAAAAAATGGTTCAAAATAAATTATTTGAACACTAATCAAACTTTTCAACTCTCAAGTGGAAACTTCACACGGGAACTTTGAAAAACCAATTTTAAGGTAGATGACATTGCAAGTCACAATTCTACCTCAACTGCTAATCGACCACACAACTTCCTCTTTATTACGTGCACATGCTGTATACCTGAACCACAGACTGCTGCAATTCTCCACATACCCTTCGTTAGACGTCTGATCGTTAGTGTCTGTTCTCTCCTTTAGAAGATCTTCCTCGTACTCCCGGACATCGTTTACTTCCTTCATTTGTCCCGTCAGGACCTTCGCCACAAACAGCACGATGAACTAAAAGAGACCAAAATGTCAGACTTTTCATAGCAATAACAGAAATGCAACTTGAACAGGGTTAAATGGTGGTTGGTTCTCTCTCAGCTAGTTACCAAAAGTTACGTTGTAGGTTAAAATTCAAGTGGAAAGTTCATGGGATCGGTCAAGGTACTGTAGTGTGCACTGTTCTAGAAGATTCTTGGGATAACGTATAGACGAATCCGACGAGCGTTCTGTGTAGGCTGCCATCTTGTGGCGACGCCATTACTGAGCTGTTACACAGGCATATAGACATATGCACCGGTATGTAAACAAACCTCGGTGATAACGCGAACTCACCCTCGATGACAGCTACAGCCAGGCAGAATGACTTGTTGGTTTGATCTGTGACTGCAGTGGCCTCCAGTCACAGATGAAGGTACAAACGATCTTAAAGATTAACGTTATTTATGAAAATAGCTTGGCAAGCTAGCTAGGCTAACGTTTGCTAACGAGGAAACTATAAAAAGATCTGTCCATTTGGCAACAATAAATAAATAAATGAAATCAAATAAACAAATTCATGTTTTTCATTTGTGTCCATTATTTATCTCATTTTCACATTGCAACGGGCAAGGGTAAGGTAACGTTACAGCTAGAAAGTATACATAATATCGACCAATTAGTGTTTTTAAACCATGGAAAGAGGTCAATATAACAGCGGGAGAACAATTATGTCTTATAACGTTATGTTTAGCTCAGGAAAGCCATTTAATGACTATAGCATGTTAATTGAATAGAAAAAATAGCAAGAGAGGAGATTTTGCTGATCACTATATCACATATTTATTATATTTTTTACTTATGTCATTAAATAATTGTTATTATACGCGAATGTCCGCGTCTTGTACTAGCCCAGGAAATCTTTGTAAACCGTACGGCTCCAGACAGGGGCAGTCGACCCGGGGTATTCACAATGTTTCCTCTTCAAAATTGAAATTTTACTGCCACCATAGAAACAATTTATAACGGAAACCGTTTACCCACTCGACATTATACAAGGGGTAACGTTGTAACGTTAGTGACAGTCGTAAATCCCGGGCTGTTTATTCCAGTGGACGCAAGTTGCAACTAAAACAATAGGAGGCAATGGCGCAACGCTACCCAGCAACAGCTCAGTAATGGCGCCCGCTTACTTCCGGTAGTTTCGCCGGATTCGTCTATATGCTAGATAGCTAGCTAGCATGAGCTAACTGATCCCACTGATAACTGGGCAATAGAAAGCAGTTGTTTTGGTAGACTTAAAGTACAATTATTCCTTGGACAATCTCTCTAGAGCGGTGGTCTCTAACCCTGTTCCCGGAGGAACTCGTTTTGGATGCCTTGCTTGTTTGACACCCATTCAAGGTCTCGAATCTTGACTGTCAAAGCAGATTGATTTAGAGACGACCAAAATTTGCACAGTTGGGAGTTTTCCAGTACCAGGGTTGGGAAACAATACTCTTGAGCAACCTATGGCCTCTCTAATGGACTTGTTCAAGGGCAGCTCTCAGTGGACTCATTAAACGGCTCAAGCCAGCAACCTTCGGGTTACTAGCTCTGAGCCTTACTATACTCTTCTGAAACTACCCATTCTTACCAGGAACCAGTAGATATTCATGAGGAGCAGAGCAAGCAGGAGTGTGTTGAAGAAGAAGTAGAAAGGGATGGTGGGAACTGACTGGATGCTGGTGACGCAGGAGGCCCACATAACTTTTAGGGGGAACCAGTACAAACGGAACCAAAACCTGCACAAATGATAAGAACAAACTAGATGAAGCAAACAACATCTTTCGAGCGTCCTCGAGACATTTGTTAGATGAACAAGGTTGGGGAAATCTGGCCCTCGAGGGCCCTAACTCTAACCCTAATCAAACTTGTCCTGAACATTTAAAGTAAGCCTGAAAGTATTAGTAGAGTTGCCTAACCTTGCTGTAGAGCCTTACATGGGTAATTTCATTTAATCAAGAAGGGAATGTTTCTGGAGTAACATCCTTTGTTTTTGCACAGCATTCCTATCATCCTTTCCCAACGCTAAACCAAGGTTGGTCAATCCTGCTCCTGGAGATCTACCTTGATCCATAATTTAGGTCCAGAAATTACTTTTGAATGAAGTAAAAGTTTTGCTCGAGCAAAATCAGGGGGTAATGATCATTTGATTGGAATATTCCCGGACCAACAAAGGATGCATGTCTACGTGTACAAATCACTTTGAGCCATCAATAAACATAGCTTCTGGTTTCTTGATCAACAGGCAGGCCTTACCATGTGATGCTAAAGCTAATGGCACCCATGTTGGACAGGACGTCATTGATGAAGTACTCTTTCCCTCCCCGAATCTTGAAATAAACGTTGACCTTGGTGAATTCCAACTGAATGTCATTGATGTCGTGAAGAAAGAGGACGAGAATTCCAATATTGTGGTATCTGAGGAAGATATGTTCAGAGGTACATGAACTGTGGCGTTTAGCGGCGTATCATTTGAGCTAATTATTTGTATAATTTATTCTTTAAGATGCCAGTTCTTGTTGTAACCAGGGTTTGAATTGTACTTTTCCCCTCACCTTTCAATTTGGCTACTACACTTTTAAGTTACCGGCCATTCAGAACTTCTATTAGCCAAAAAAGAAAGAAAGAAATGAACCAAACTAATGGATTTTATACATTAATTTCTTATTCAAACAAAATCCAGAACAGAACAACAGGTGGACAGAACTTAAAAAAATATTTTATTTTATAATTAAATTACATCAGACAATAACAATGTCTTTTCTGTTAACCAAATGGTTATTAATCTTCTCTATTGCTTCAATGCAAATGAACTTACGCGCAATTATTTGTTGTTGTGCATGTTCAGGTAAGCCAGATATACACAGATTCTGCGCAATACGCTTTATTTAATATACAACATGACATCATGACTTTTGTGTAAACATACACGCCACTTTCAAGTCAAGTGGCGTGTTTATCTATACGCATTTTGAGCTATCCGCGTGTATGTACATGCCGTTAAATGTCTGAGCGAAACAAAGCAAAATGTAGATCTACATCTGGGGAGCGATATTTTTTTCCCTAGGTTGGTAAGGGAAGACTCATAAATGGTATTAACCCCAGTGACGGGTAGGTAAAGGGATGGGGTTGGGGTAGGTCCGTAACGGTAAAGGGTTAGTTCACCCAAAAATGAAAATTCTGTCAGTATTTACTCACCCTCATGTTGTTCCAACCCTGTAAGACCTTCGTTCATCTTCGCAACACAAATTAAGATATTTAAGATATTAAGATCGCTCCTGCATACAGTCCATAGGCTTCTTGAGGGACTGGCTCTTGCTGTCCCCGAAAAGTCATTAAAGACATCGTTAAAATAGTCCAAGTGACTACAGGGGCTCAATTTTAAGTTTATCAAACGACGAGAACACTTTTGTGCGCAAAAAAACAACAAAAATAACGACTTTATTTCAACTATTCACTTCCTTCTCCATGAGCCTGTAGTCAGTTAACGTAGTGTGATTGCGTAGAGCTACGTCACACGTAGGCTCACTATTGGCCGACGCTGGTCATGTGTGTGTGATGCGTGTGACGTACAATAAAAGAAGCTTACGCTATTAAACTAGTAACCTGACTCGCGCAGAGGGAGAAATAAACGAATAGTTGAAATAAACTTGTTATTTTTGCACAAAAAGTGTTCTCGTCGTTTGATAAACTTAAGATTGAGCCCCTGTAGTCACTTGGACTATTTTAACGATGTCTTTAATGACTTTTCGAGGACAGCAAGTGCCAGTCCCTCAAGAAGCCTATGGACTGTATGCAGGAGTGATCTTAATCATCTTAAATATCTTCATTTGTGTTCCGGAGATGAACGAAGGTCTTACGGGGTTGGAACAACATGAGGGTGAGTAAATACTGACAGAATTTTCATTTTTGGGTGAACTAACCCTTTAAGTCAACGGCGTTCATAAACACGCTGAAAAGCGCTTATGCATGTTGATAGAACCCCAAAAATGTAAATACGAATTGGTGTGTCGTACATACGCCATTTCATAAGATCAGTCTGGCATTTGGCGGGTTGGCGAGTGTTAATTTCAAACCCTGGTTGTAACTAAGAAAAAAAAAAACTGGCTGTAGATTAAACAAAGCCTGTAAATTTGCCTGACCTAAAGGCATAGGAGAATGTGATCAGGGCCAGAGTGATGAAGTGATGCACCACCATGACAAGGGAGTCCTTCCTCCATGCGTCCATGTAGACCGTTGCATATATCGAATGGCCGTAGAAGCTGCCCTGGATAAGGTAAGCTATCGCAATATCGGTGGGTACTGACATCCCACTCTTCCAGTCTACACCGAAAAGACAGAACAAAATAGTGAACTCCACAACCATAAAAAGAACAACACTAGATGGTAATGACCTTGACTTGCTGACAAAAAGTCAAACTGGCCTCATAAAACGTTGGTAGATGGTTTATGCTGATATAGTAGAGATTAAATCAAGGGGTGTTCAAGATGCCATTGATGGTTTCCGTCAACAGTGATCTTTGGCATTGGGACAATCTTTATTGGTATTTGTAAAGTAGTATCATATCATTCATGCAAATGAGTAGTGAGATGGTCCAACAACTACCAATTGGAACGTAAATGGTTATCAGTGGCCCTGATAAGTGAAAATGGGATTTCAGAATAACTGTAATTATATCGATAAGGAGTGTTAACAGATAATAGTAACTTGCGACCTTTAATATCTAGTCATTATATTAATCATTCATATTAATGTTTATTCTGACTTTTAGTCATTAAACATTTAACACTGACAAAACAAATTGGCCTTTCCCAAAATCTGAACAAGGATCCTGTACATTTTAAGCGCTCAATTTAAGCATTAAATTGTATTTTGTATCATCTGACACCTTCAAAAGTAGCATGTAATCTGTTTAAAAAGCTTTTGAGGGTTTAGTTATTCAGGCCTGACGGGGTTTAACAAAATTATTACATGCGAAAACAGGACTTTAAAGCTTACCGTAAAACACAGACGGAGGGTTTTGAAAGAAGGAATAACTAGTGAAAAACAAAAGGTAGGTGCTGTATGACCATGACATTGTGTAGAAGACCAGCTTCCACGCGCTCTCCGGCATCTTTGAGACATCTTTTGATGGGATGCAACACCATTGTCCAAACGGCTGTGAAAGACAAGCGGAAAGAATAAAATTGCAATGCTAGCATTAACAAAGAAGACTTCTAGCGACTGAACTGCACAGGATCAATGATACTACACAATGCTGCCAGGTAAAATTATCAACTTGTACACACCTGTAACAGTAAATTTCGACTCATTTATGCATATAATTTGCTTAGAAGTGAATGTTTATAATTTACTGTGTGTTTCTTTCCAGGTGCTGCAGCCTTTGTGATTTCACATAAAAGGATGAGTCATGAAAAGGCCGTTCTAATTAGCTCAGAACGACCCATTGACGGTAATAGCCTAAAGCTAAAGTTGTACTTCATCTTTGCTAAACTTTGTGTGTGTGCTCACGTGCCTTCACCTTATCTCTCCCATGATAGACTATCCTGCTTGTGTGGACACAAAAGCCGAATGTCACAGTAACCGAAGATGTTAAAGGCTTGATTTAATCATTTATCTATTCACAAGCACCACCTTCACTTGGCGCTATCTAATCTGCACTCCCTTCTGCTAATTACAATATATATAAAATAGGCCACTGAAACTAGACATATATGTTGGCATCGTTTGAGCTCTCTTGTGCTCATGGTTGCCTCTGATTGGCCAAGAGGCAATGTGGTGTGCACCGCAGGATATCCACCACGTGTATTCTGCTCTCCGCCTCCACCCGCTGGGGTTATTTATAGAGGCCAGCTGTCACCAAAATGCTCCACCCCCATCCCTCTATCATCACCACCTCTAGCTGAGTCCCGGGGTTCAGGCTGACTGCTGCTGATGCTGGTGACTGCATCATGGTTGTGATAGAGAGAGCACACAACCTTTGGGCTCTAATGGCCATAAATTAATCAAAGAAAAGTTTAGGCGAATCTCAGAAAGATAACCATGAATGAAATGTCTTTAAAGGCCCGAAATCTTCGTATGCGTTTTTTTTTCGTATTTGTGATTCGGTGGCTCTGAATTGTCAAAACACCGTTCAATCTGCTTGCTACGGATGCGAAAAACGCAGAAAACCGAATCGATCTGATTTTTTTTATGACGGACGAAGGTTTCAAGGCAGTGTGCAAGCGTGATTTATATAACGTGAGGTCGTGTTTATTTTTTTACGTGTGAAAATTTCGGACAAGGGCCTTAACATCCCAATTGCTTCTTCTAGAAGTTTATTGGAGACTGATTATGAAGTTTTCTGATTCAGTGTGCTCAGATTTACCAAGATACAATACGATCTTCAATTTCTTCAATATGATTCAGTGTAACCATTTTTATTGCAAATTGTAGGGCCGCCCCGACTTTTCTAGTCGACTAGTAGTCGTTTTAGTCGACTAATCGCACGTTTATATTAATTTAATGATGTAAGCTTGCTGCAAAGCACTGGCAAAAATAATGATTTGTCACAAAAAAAAGACATTTTAGAGTACATTTACACGACAATACGGAGAAGTTTTTCCTTTGAGTTTTCCGTGAACAGACGACACTTGTCAAAGTTTACACGGATCCGCGAAAACAACTAAAAACGCACTATGTCATAATGATGCTCTGGTTTATGTGTGAATTTGATTCACCACTTTTTTTAAAAAAAACTTGTTGCTTAGTTTATTTATTATATAGCTCTTACTCGTCAGGTATTTTTAGTTTAAGTTATATAACATTTAGTCTATTAAGCTATGTTTTTACTTATCGTATGTATATTGTCTATTATTATCTTTTTATTACGCTGCTGGTCCTAGGTACATATGTCGTTCTCATGTGCCAACATGTGCAGAAAGACAATAAAAATACCTTAAACCTTGAACTTGTATTCTGGTGCCAGGCCATTAAATGGCGATGACTGAACACGTAATACGCATGCGCATGACATCATCGTCTTCAGAGATTCACGTTTTTGTTGTTTACATAGAGACTTTGAAACCCATTTTCAGGCACCCAAAACGCCATTGTTGTGTAAACGAATGGCCAAAGCGCATAAAAAGTTTTCCTTTTTTAGTTGAAAATGGTGTCATGTAGGCTAAACGATGTTAGAGTTAACGATGCCGACTTGCCATCTCCGCAGTAGAGAGAGAAATGCAACTTTCATACGGATTACACAATCAGAGAGTATTTGCTTTCTACTTGAATTGGTTTGTTTAAAAGTAGGCATTTCATATTTCTCATGTCTGTGAGGCAAGTAGCAAACGTTTCGGCTCATGTACGGCGTTTCTCATGAACTGCGTGATTTCACCACTTGTGTTTTTTTCTGTGACTTACCGACTAATAAAATCTCGTTCAACTAACGTTTAGTCGACTAATATGGGGTAGCCCTAAATTTTAGCTATGCAATCCATCTCAGTTTCTTACAGTATCAACTGTTTTTAATTGGTGTCTCTTGTCATTTCTCTTTAGAATTTGCACTTGATACCTAATTAAACACAAATGAGCTTTCCAATAAGTCCACTGAGCTTTGGATGAGCAACTTCTGAGGAATAGATGTTTCCTCTGGGAATGCTTGTTATGCTGGAAACATTGCCACCTAGATTAGACCACCAACTAATTTTGCTCCCAGGACATTAATGGCAAACAAAACCGAGGGCTGAACTGAACCTGATGACCGAATGCGACTGAAACACATTTTGTTCTGGGGTCTCGTACAAGAGTTGACCCGTCGATTAAACATGCAGTTTCCATAGCAACTATTTGAGGATTGAAGACAAATGACAACAAACACAATGTAAAAGAACAAGCCCATCTCCAATGTATGATAAATGTAAACATACTGGTTTGTTGATCTCTTTGGATCTGCGTTTTTTATTAACAGTGCAACTTAAAAGTGGAATAGCCAATCCAAGAGTGAAAAACTTGTGGTCACTTGCCATTTTAAGAAACTAAAGAGTATATCCTTCTATTAAATGTTATTTGAATGTAACCTGTTTGCATAGCTATTGTTTTGTGTAAAAAGCAAAATGCAAAGTAAGAAACTATGTTAAACAGAACATTGCAACTTTACATGGCGGCTTTAAAACAAATTTCACAGGAACAAAAATAGCAGAGGTCTTTTTCTTTAACAGAGGAAAAACTACACCAAACACCTATAAAAACACACTTCCACGTTCACAGCCAAAATAACTTGTGAACTTTCTGCATCAGGTTTCAAAATATCTGTCATACAGCTGTTAGAACAACATAATGGAGAATAAACATTGACAGCGTTCATTTTTGACTGAACTGTTCCTTTAAAGGAAGCATATAAACATCGGGACATTCAAACCGAATGCCAATATAGTTTAAGCCGGGTACACACTGCGATTTATTTGGCCGTCTGAGACAAATTTCCCAAATCCTGAAGTCTTTCATTGTTCGTTTGATTACAAACAGGCGTGACTTCATGCCCTCTCCATTAAAGAGCATCTCTCCTTCAATATATCGCAAGATTAAAGTCAACATATAGCCATTTGATTATAGATGGTTGCGATAAAATTTGACCTCTGATAATATTCTGGTAGCGTCGGAAGATTTGCCTCCTGCGACGAACGTGAAACTTTCTTTGTTTTTCAAGACAAGCCATGACCAAAATTAATGTTAGAGATTTCGCGTGTAGCGCAGCGGACAGTCACCGAATGTGTCATTGATGATGCAAAACTCCTGACAGTTTTTCTTACGTGCGTGTGTCCGTTTTTAACACGTCTTGACTGCCGTACAGTATGACATCAATGATAACTGAGATAACTGAGATACAACTCCCCCAGAGATAAACAGTTGGGTTTTACCGTTTTCGACAGTTTCTGGTCCCATTGACTTCCATTGTAGGAAAAAATATGAAGAGTTCAGATGCAAAAGCCTCTAAATGCCATTTGAAATTTTCTTCTTTAATGATGCTTTTTATCAAACTTGTATATTTAAGTTCAGTAATTTCACTTAAATAACAATTAATAGGTAATTATCAATTAATAGGTAAAATAGGTAGGTAATAGGTAAAATCACTGAACTTAAATATACAAGCTTGATAAAATGATCATTTTCGGAGAAAATTTAAAATGGCACTTAGAGGCTTTTGCATCTGAACTCTTCATATATACTATGGAAGTCAATGGGACCAGAAACTGTCTGGTTACTGATATTCTTCTAAATATCAGAAAATTGGCTGAATGGATTCGAAAACGGTAAAACCCAACTGTTTAACTCCGGGGGGGGGGGGGGTTGTAAAATGAGCCTATTTCCAAAAAAAGAGGAGTGTCCCTTTAAAGGGGTCATTGGATGCAAATAATCAATTTGCCAATAAATGTGTCTTTGCAGTGTGTGGACACAACTACCATGCAATGAAAAAAAATCCATTCACTCTTTTTTTATCATCAAAAAGCCTAAACACTCTAAATAATCAAGTCGTTTGGATTTTCTGAGCAATATGGTGTCATATTGCTAATGCTCCGCCCACGCATATTTCTTATATTAGCATATTTCCACTTCAACCATTTGTCAAGTCATCCTCATTTTGCTCATTTTGATGTTAACAGAGATAAACACATGAATATTTGTATACTGTCCGCCAAGGCATCACTATACGTGTCTTGTGGCGACACTCCCCATTGGAAGAGAGGAGTGGGGGGGAGCAGTTGCTCATTAACATTTAAAGAGACATGCACCGAAACGGGTCGCGGTGAACAGAGGTGTTTTTGAGGAGGTAAAAAGTGTGTTTTACACAACCATTGAGAAATTTTAACCAAAGTATGTTACAAACTTCCCACGAAGACCCTAAAGAATTATACCAACTTGTGGAAAATGGGCATCCAATGACCCCTTTAAAGTAAAAAAAGGCCCTTTTCCAATACTTTGGAGGGTCAAGAGTAAGAAAAAACTATAAAAGCATCTCCACATGGCCAGATGGAGCCACATAGCCTTCTCATTTGCCCCTCAAACACCCTCCCCGGTTGGGCTGAGCTGTATTTCCTCAGGCTTTGATTGTTCTTGGAACAACTAGTTTGTTTTCTGCTGTCATTTCAGATGAAGTTGATGCATTGAGTCGAGGGTTCA